ACCGGTGTAAATATAGTGGTTTATAGTGGTTATAGTTCGTTTTCCTTTGGTATTGCTTTTGCCCTTATGGACAATACCAGTTATTATTGTCATTTTCGATACGAATTCACATCTAGCGGAGCATTTGTTCTGGGACTACACATATATTTAATAATGAATAGATGTCAGATTTAATTAGTTTTTGTTTTTTATAGGAGCTACAAAAGGCGGTATCCGAAAACCAGCGATTACAAATGGAAGTAGACCGATTAAAGCAGGACCTTGAAGATAGCGAAAAATATATCGCACAAGTTCAGCAAAATCTGCCCAAGGACAAAGGTGAGCACACGAGAACTTATGGAAAATTTTTAGAATAAGCTGTGTTTTTGTTAGGCGTAACTAAACATTTTCACTATATGTTACTGCTATTTTATACCATATATATACATACTGCGCAGGATCTGTGAAAAGAGACGTTTTCACAGGTCGAGGTCTCCTCCACCTCCAAAAAGAAATCATCTGAATGTGTGTAAATAACAACTAAAGACAACTTGAATGATATTAGAAAGATGGGGCTTTCTCGGTAACCATGTTCGCAGGTGCTAACGAGCAGTTGCGTAGTGAAACGAAGCAGCTATCAGAGCAATTGGAGCGGGTACAACAGGAACTGTACAGGACGGCGGAAGAGAGGAACAGGTTGGAGATGGCCGTACAGGAATTGAGCGGAGAACTCGAGAGATTACGCTCCATCAACTCAGGTAACTCAGGTTCAGATTGATTCGTCATGGCCCGCTTCATGTAGAACTATTTTACCACCTTTCGTCATTAATGATATTTCTTCCCCGTTGCATTCCTCAGATAGAATGCATCCAACCATTGTGTAGCATTTATATATATATATAATCTGCAAGATTGCTCTGTTGGTGTCTTTGATCTGTGAGGTAATGGCCATTATCAGTCTGCGTTTTCGGTTGTCGACAAATATTGCGTTACATAAGAAAAAAAGTAAGAGGATAATATATTAAAGAAAATTAAACGCGCAAGGTCTGTACAAAAATTAAGCATACCATTTTTTTTACAATTGACTATTTACAGGACGTCCTGGCGAGGCAGAAGCGCAGATGAAGGCAGAGCTCGAACGATATAACAAACAAATTGTTGCACTTCAACAACAGATCCAAACCAGCGCCCAGCAGACGCAGAAGTATGAAGCCGAAAACCGAGAGTTGAGAGATAAACTCGAGAAGTCCCTAAACGCCGTTACTCAATTCCAGAAGGATATTGAGGGACTTAAAAAGGTTTGTCGACCTATGCAATCATTTTAACATAATAAGCACTCACAGCAAGTGTACGTAGTCTATATCTTTTCCAATTGTTTAAATGCGGCCATGCATTATTCCCATTAACCGTTTTCTCAATCAACGGTTAGTAGAATAAGCAAAAAAACTATGCATTGTTAGGATTAAACAAGTACTTTCCTTTTCACATAAAGTGTGTAGTATTGTATCTGTGTGCCACAAATGGCCTTGGTGGTTGGTGGTTGTCCTATCAAATTTCTATGTCGTCAGAGCCAAATCTAGCATCTAGTCAAATCATTAACATCAACTGCTGACAAAATACTAATGAAAGCCTAACGAATTTTATAGGACAACAGCAAACTGACCGAAATGAACAGCACATTGCAGCAGTCTCAGCAGGAGATGGGACAACAAATGCAACAGGTTTGTGCTTCGAAAACTATTATCGAAGTTTTATCTAGTTTATTAACTGATCGATTAGTAAGAAAATATGTGACTCGTTTGAAAAAAATGAAAAAGGGTGATTCTTGCTCGCAGCATATGCTGATTTGGTTTACTAGGAGTGGCGTAGTTTCATTTTGTATTTCGTATTCAAATCAAAGTCCACTAGTTCCATAGGTGGCAGAGGAGCTACGAGTGTAAATAATCCAAGATACATATTAAAATAGCATTAAAATAATGACGAAATAAATAAAAATTATAAGGACTAATGTCGATGTGTCCACCAACAAATATCAACATATGTACTGAAATCAGAAAAATAAAGGCAAGCTTACCATGTAATTATAAAGTGGTTGAATACGCAGGGTGTACGTAGGAGAATAATCTGCTAATGATGTGACTCTATAGTTGTAGCAAAAAATTAAATATTATTACTTAAAGCAAACGGCTACTTCGGGGTAAAACTGTTTGTTGACACATATTTCTTGATAGCACGGAAATATAATATACTAATTTAGGAGATATAAACTTTTACAGTTGATGACATTGGTCATAATTTTTGGTATATATACCTTCAGCTATAAATGAAATGCCATATATGTTTGATCTTTGGCTGTGTAGAGACTATTTTATTTGACATATACTTCTGAAAAAGACGCAAAAAATTGACTATGCATCTTAATCTAAACAAAAAGGTAACTAAACAATTAAAATTAGATCTCGTTCATATAGACTGCTACCATTTACAGAAATGAGAACATGGCGCATTTACAGAAATCAAATATTCCTACAGAACTTACCATCAAAGGTTACAAATTCTTCCTTGGTTTTTCTTCTTTCAGACATATCATGGGTAGATATATTGTTAAGGCACTTAGCATGTTATTCCGAGGTATTCGATTAGCACCATTATTGCGCAAGTGAATCTCGAAATGTAACTAGTAGAACTTACACGGTACAACCGATCAATAAGTAAGATTGATAATAATTTTTTTATTGCTCGTTCTTCGCACAGAGCTGGGTTCCCTAACTTGGAATTGGAAGAGGTTTCCAAGTAACGAAAAGGTTCCGATTACCAAAAATTCAACAGCGCGATTGGATTCATATTGATTCTATATTTATTATATTAAGTCGAACTACCTATAGCTTTGCAACGTTTAAGCTCAAAACCTATTTATAGATGCAACTCGTACCTTCCTTGTGAGGTTATCTATCGCACATGTCTTAATAGTAATAATAACCCATTATTTTAAACATATTTCATGTAATGCTTATAGCTCTTGAAAGAACCTGAGTTCTTAAAAATTGAGCATTCACTCAACAGTCGGTAGTGAGCTGTGGTAAGACGTACTTAACAAGCATAGCTCTTCGCGGGGGCGGTGTATATAGATGTAGACTATAGCACTACACATCGAGGTGATGCAGAACGACGTCAATATGGCGTCATAGCAACACGTAATTGCAGTTGACCATGTTACCATCTGCTCGCTGCCAGTGAGCTTTCATACAAGTGGACAAAGCATGGCGGAATCACCTCAGCAGTCAAAATCGGCAAAAAAGCCACAAAGGGGAGGGAGGGTTTGAGAAAGCGAAACCCGAAGGGAACGGAACAACGAATAGCGCTGCCATCCAGGGAATGCTAACCACTGTTTACAATGTTACAACTTCAGTATGCCTATTCACTCCAATAAATAATTTGCTTATAGAAATTCTATATCAGAAACAAATCTAGAAAATGTTTCCTGTGAAATAACTTATCGGTCGAAATAATGTAAGTCATAAAATACTTTACTACCAACAGCATCCTAGAAGCACCCTTATTTTACCAAGATGAAATGTACATAAGGTGATACAAATGCTACCATTGCAATTCGAATTCTTAACCAGTCGATTATTCAATTAAGATTTTTAGATAACCTTACCGTAATCTCATGGCAGGTCACTTGAATGGAAAGGGTTCTGAGCTTTTCCATTGCTCCTGTATTTCAAGCTCTTTAGTTTTGGAAGTTGACCGTAGCCCTATTGACCATCTAGAGGAGGTTGATTACGTAAATAGAAGTATAACATTAGTGCCACTTATAAAGGCCCTCTGTTAGACATACTTTGTTATTTAGCGCACGTTGAGGCTAATTTCAAACTTTACGTGGACGGTAAGGCGATTCCCTAGTAATCTGTAACGAGATGCAAGAAGACGTTAAAACAGACATTTCGCAAGCGCCTAAATAAGTGATGCTTAGTATCTGTTGACAAGTAAATCCTTTCATGTCACTAAATATGTAATATATAGTTGCGTTTCATCTTAATGCTGCGTGTCAACCCGCAGGAACATTCATCTGCTTTTCCCGTTTTCATGCGATCGAGCTACCATCAGTTACATATAGGTAGAGTGGGAGAACTGCGTTTCTTTATTACTACACCCATAAATGCTGTGCATACTTCAATAGTTATATCAAATGCACTGCATGTTGCTGCGTTGCTGCTCTCGTTCCATTGCCATAACCTGTTTTTATTACCAACCGTTTTTTCCCTTAAAAGCTGCAGCAGCGCGCTTCGTTTGCGCAAGCCTTTAGCTAGCCCAGACCCCCGTCTTCGGCATCAATCACTCCCTATTATGATTATTATGGCTACTCTGGTTTTATAACTATAGCAGGCGTGATCGCCGACTACCGAGAACCGATGTTCCTGATAGCGTGTATCTAGCGTGCGTGAATTGACAATCAAATGTGAATACGTATTAGCTCCGGCGGTGTGAATGTACAAAAGCGTATGTTTCGAGCAGACAATGAACGTTGTGACGTTCATCTTATTTCATCATATTTTCTTATTATTATCGATTAGTATCGATCGAGAGATCGATTACGAATACATCTTAGATCCTATTGTACTGCCAATGCATACCGAAATCATAATAGCATGACGTGTGTAAAGTAGTCTGTAAAGTAAGGCCTTTGCAGATCAAATTTTAAATTGGTCTCTCTTGTTTAAATACACTTACTTTGCCACAAATCACTGTGCTCAAACTAAACTACATAAAAATAATTACTCAATAAGGTTGATTATTGTTATAAACGGTCTGGACAGACAATGATAAAGTATTTGGCGTGGGCACTGGCTTCAGTGCTTATCGTCAGCTCAATCTGGAACCGTCTTCATATGCTACCACAATTAAAAAATAGAAGGAACCGCGTATAGAATTGATCTCCTATGCATACTTCACTTATGATTTCGAATGTTAATTGGCTGTTAATAGAGATTTAAAGGAAGAACGCTCAGCGCACTCGGCATAGAAGAAGACCTAGTGGACGTTCATTTTTATTGACTTCGTCTACTATCTAATTAAGTTTAGAACGGAAGGAAGACTTATTTGAATTAGTGTTCTATTCTTTTACTTATATATTGCAACAAGTTCCTTTATTGAAGAATTCCAGCTCGACCTTTTTACATTGCTAACGAGCATCCGCATAGCAGAAACCTGGTTACGCGCATAATATACTTGTTTTTGCTGTACTAAATAAATGCTCATTATGCAAGAAAAACACGAAACTAAATATTGTGTAAAACAATTTTCAAATAAGTCTCGACGTTCAGTTATTGTCTTGACTACATCTCGGGATTAAATCGAACTAATCTTTCAGTACCTACCACAGAATTAGGAGTGCTACAATTCAACGAAGTAATTCTGTGTCTGAAGAACAGTAATTTCTTATAAATCTAAGTCATTTTAGCAAGACTATTTTAAACGTTGCTTCAATAAAATTTAGTTTGATTTTTATTTAAGCCGGGCCCAAACTCTGCTCCAACTCACGTATACAACCTGTTTTAGCAAAGCTTACCTTGTACACGTTTATCGGTTCTTATTTAAAGGACACACTTATTGTTATTGACCAGGAACACTTTGTAAAATTAAAACTATTTCATCACTACGTAGCTAGAGCTATGTTATTCCGAACGCCTAGTAAAAAATTAAAATCTTGAAAGTTTCAGCTTGCTACTTAGCTATCCTGTAGGCCGCAAGCCAAATAAAATTGCTAAAATTTACCTAATAATAACATCCTAAATCTCATCTAGAGCTATTTGCACTCAGCTTCCTATACTCGTGCGGCATTGTTTAACATACTAAATCTATAGGTATACCGGCTTTAAATACGGTGAGTCTTTAAAAAGATTACGTCCCTACGTCCCGCGGTACTAGCAGTTACTGTTTTGATGAAACACGATAATAAGTACAATTTTGTAATGTTGATAAAAAAAAGTTCATTTTTAGTAATTTATTCTACCACTTTTGTGTTGCTACAGCCTAACGACTTAATTTGAACGTATTGGTCGTTCGTGTGCCTATGTTTCACGTCAGCTTCTCAGCTCGTTTCATTCATCATATTATGATATTAATAACTAATTATAACACATGTTAGAAATGGACAACGCCATTAGATTTCCCTTGTGGTTGTTGTTTTGCCACCACCACTAGAATTGTGTGGTGTCGGCGATTCCTAGAACATTAATGCTTTGATTTCATCGTAAAGTACGAGCACCAAAGCGCCGCCAGTTCCACGGAGAACATTAGAAAACGCGCCTTTGAAGAATGCTTTGCCACCTTCATTTTTTGCGATCTTCACCCAGCAGTCCACCGTATTCTTGTACATGATTTCACCGCCTTTACGCCCAGACTGCATCATCATACGGCGACGAACAGTGTCGAACGGATACGATATGACACCCGAGACCGTAGTGACAATTTGGGCGATCGCCCAGGAGACAATGATATTTGTATTCTTGGAGTCGGTCAACATTCCCTTAGCAGTGTCGAAGAAGCCGAAATAGGCGGCGCGGTAGATGATGATACCCTGAACAGACACGTTGAATCCACGGTACAGTCCGATAATGCCATCAGACTTGGTTATCTTCTTTAGGCAATCGACGAGGCCAGTGAATTCACGTTCGCCGGCAACTTTCCCGATATCAGCACCAAGTCGTGTCCGGGCGAAGTCCAGGGGGTAAACGAAGCACAATGAGGTGGCCCCGGCAGCACCACCCGACGCCAAATTACCGGCGAAATACCGCCAGAACTGCGCCTTCTTGTCGATTCCACCAAGGAAGATCTGCTTGTACTTGTCCTTAAAGGCGAAGTTAAGTGCTTGGGTGGGGAAGTAACGAATCACGTTGGCGAAGTTGCCTCTCCAGTACGCGGTGACGCCCTGCTCCCTCGGGATACGAACAAAGGTATCGATAATGCCTTTATACTGCTTGTCAGCCGTGATCTGCTTTGAAGCCGCCTGCACCTGCAGAAGCAGCTTTACTCGCTCGATAGGAGCTACCGCCGTCTTTGAGACTGCTGCAGCAATACCGCCAGCAACGAAATCCTGAGCGAACGACATCGGATCGAAAGCTTTACTGCCCGACATAGTGATGAGATTGACTCTGCTAGCTGTATTAGAGATTGATCGGAACGGAGGACAAATCAACACCGCCAGCGAGGTCCGAACGAAGGCAGCAGTAGTAACACACGGACCGGAAACACCACGCGACTCGCCACGTGACACCGTACGAAGGTGACTGAGCTGCGATCATTGGCCAACAGCCTACCAGAGCGATCGACAAGCACCATCCACGGCAAGGTGATCCCTTACTCGATGGATCCTAGAAAGACCCCGGCTACAACAGCGCCCCCTTCTGCGCGACGCATGCGCTGTCTTAAACTCTCTGGCGCGCGCTGACCAGCCCTTTGCAAGGGAATGCGTGGCTAGCAGAGAATCTACTCCAATAGCTCCAACAGCAATATCTAAAATAATATCAAACGCTATACATAGCAGCAACATGGCAGCAATGGGTATTATTTCGACCATATACATTTATTGATACAAATATTTAAGTTAACCAAAGATGGAGCGAGTAATCCTTTGGCCGCCTTCCTGGCTGGTTTAAATCCATCAACAATATACCAGACACCGTCGGGCGACTGAAGCGCCATGCACGCCGGTTGTACGGCAAGTTCGCGCCTTCTTTTAATTTGATACATGCAGCAGAAATCAATTGAGACCTATTGCGCTGCACGTCATCGCTGCACATGAGAAGTTGTCGAACATTCGAAACATCGTACAACTGCAAAGCGCATCAAATAATTCTAAATTTTGTACCCTATCCTTTCGAGCAACTAAAGCTTTCTAAAAAAGGCCTAGAGAAACACTAGACAAGCTCTGCATTGGTCGCAAACAATTGCGTGAGGATAACTGCAGAGAGTTTACAGACTTACCTAAGTTATAATGGTGAAACAAAGATATTTCGAAGATGAGATTACTTAGTAACCCACCGATTAATAAGCAAACACTTGCAGCGCCTAGTTACGACACTAAAATCAAGGAACACGCAATTCCCCCTGTCGATATGGCCCCTGTTCAGCGGCAATGAAGTAAGCACCTTGTTCAGTCGTCTCTGGACAGTATAATACAAGATACATATTTTAATGTGTTCTTATGCTACTCAAGTTGCAAATGGGAAGTATAGTGATTTTTTATTACGAAGAGATATGTTCAGAGAGCAGAATATGTCCAGAAATAAAACGCTTTTTTCTAGCAGCCTGATATAGCTTTAAAATGTCTGTAAGTAATCTGATGACTTCTTGAATTAGTCACCAACACTTGAAAATTTTTTGTAGTCGTAAGTAGCCATGCCTCTAAAAGCACGACGAAATGTTATTACTGTGTTTTTTGATCGATGTTGTTATTACTACGATAGCTTCAAGAAACGGCGGCAAAGGCTGCGGCTGCGGCAAGTCAACAGCTACAGCAGCCTCAGCAAACGGAAGCAAATGGCGCTGCAAAGAACGGTACCGGTGCAACGGTCAATCAGACGGCGGAAAAGCTTCAGATGGAACTGGATCGAATGCAAGTCGAGCTCGAGACTCAGAGACAGGATAACATGCGCCTCACCCAGGTTGCTAATCATTTCCATCCAAATCTAACCTACAATATGGATGTACATCAAAGAATAGTATATTATATAAGAATAGTTAAGACGTTTCAGTACTTTCATATGAAAAGTATCGTTACATCGGTGTATCTATATGTATATACGCAAGCTGAATGCTACGTTTGAGAAAAGAAAGCTTAGGCAAGCTACAAATTCATTATGAATAACATAACAGATTAATAGACACAGTTATGGGTATAACAGACGCGAACAAATACCCTACATATATTGAGTAATTGAGAAGGTATTGACGGTTTTTAAAATTGAAGCAAGTGCTTTCTATATTTTCTGTACATTTTAAAGCAATACAACTATGCACTATTTTGATCGATAATTCTCTGACATTTTTGTGGCAACACCATAATTCGATAGCTTGTTACAGTTCTACTAACTTATTTGATTTCTGAGCAAAAAAATTATGACAAGTGATTTTTGCATTCCCTTATTGAAACTAAATTGATGACATTAAGGGATTTCTACAGAAACCGAAATAGATGATAGCCTGATGACGCAAGATCCGGATTATACGGCGAACGCATTACAATTTTCCATCCGAATTCTCTCAATTTTAAGCAGGTAGCTAAAGGTATATGTGGAAGGCGATGATATATATTGTCACGGTGGAAAACGATACCCATCGTGTTCATTAATTCCGGTCGGTGTTCCTCAAATGTTTATTGTAATCTTGTTAATTTTTGAGAGCAGAAGTCGATCGTTTTGCTAAATGGCAACAACTCATAATGAATGATTACTTTTCAATTCTATCAAACATATAGCATCGCTTCCTTTGGCGTCAGTCCGGGCTTTGCCACAGGCTGTAAAATACATTTTTGTGTATTTCCAATGTATACAATCGACTTTTTATGTCCCGTAATCAACGGTTTTAGAGTAACGCTCGAGTAAATGCTTCTGCGTCAATTCATGTAGCACACAAACGTCGAGCCATCGTTTTTATAGTTTAACAGTGTTTGATCATGTTCAGTTTTGTGGCGATATATGGGGCTCCTTGCGTGTCGACTTTGTCCAACTTTCTCATTTAGTCGATCACTATGAAGAATATCCCTTACATCGAAATTTCCAGAACGAAGGCGTTTCTTTCAATAACGCATTTTGGTAATAAATAATATACATTTTTTATGGTACTGGGCAGCATATGTGCGTTGGTTGTAACAAAATAGTAAAATGAAGCGAATTTTTTGAGAAAGTTCACTTATTTCTAAGGTGTTCTATCTTCAGTCTGAATAAAGGCATTTTAACTATTTTAGCACCTGCTGCTAGATCGCTTTCAGTTTACGCCAACAGCGGCCCGGCGCGATTCGCATTAGCTAAAATATATAGCTTTAAAGCCGTCTAGCTAGAAAACCGTCAGTACTTGTTCGACAATCCAATATATCACTAGTAGAAAATCTATGCTGGCATAATTCTTCATGGATAGATACTCCAACAGCACGATGTGTTTGGGATTTCTCATATCAGTAGTTTCTAATGCGGTAGTATGTTGAACTTGTTTTGAATTACAAAATGTCGCTATTTATCCGTCCTTTTTATATCGAATTGCCATTTTGCGCTTGTAGGAAGTCCAACAGTACATGAAAGGTCTCGAGCAGGCTCAGAGCGAGATCAAAAACTTCGAAGAAGAACGAAAACGCTTCCAGCAACAACTCGAAAATCTCGTGCAGGAAATCGAAAAACGAGAGGTAACATGTTTAACTTCTTTGTATGGTGATAGTGAGTGCTGTAATGTTTGTAATACAGTTATGAGGTCTTCAGTCATGTAGGTCATCAATATTATCAATACTATAAGTGAACAATAGTGTCTACGTAAATCAGTTTTTTTTTAAATGCTAAGGAAAACCAGTTGAACGTATTTCAAAGATGGAAATTCTACTAGCTCAGCATATTTATATTGAAATGTGTGCTTTCAGGCCACAATTCAGGCTGGCACTCAACAACAGGCAGCGATGCAACAACAACTGCAGCAACTACAAGCACAGCTGGCTCAAGCCAGCCAGGCCAACCAGGCAAACAACGCGCAACAGGTTCGTTTAATTGGTACCACCGCAATTCTTCGTATTAAAAAAATCTTCACGGTTGGTCGTTTGCAATAGCAAATTTATATTTATATATGTATATAAATAACAGTTACCGGAAGCCTTTGCTTAATCACTGTGTCAGATTCATTAATTCCTCAGCTCAGCAGTCCATTAGTTCTATATCAGTAATTTCCATTTACTAATTTGGTAATATACTTTTTTGTCGTTGACACCGGTTCATAGGCCCAGGCGGAAGCCGAATTGGCCGCGATGAAGAAACAGCTGGACGAAAGACACAAAGCGCTTGAACAACTTGAACAGAAACTCAGGAAGAGAAAGGAGCAAATTGATGCCGCGGAGGCTAACGTCAAAAAGGTTTGACGTAGACAACCAACCTAGCCAGTTCAGCTTGTTAAGCAGAAAAGATACATTTTTGGTGGCCATCATCCAAACACTAATGCGAAATGACATTAACCTCGGAAAATACCCATTAATGTCAAAATACATTGTAGATGTTGAGCACATAAAGCTGCTGGTACTGTGACACCTAGCAACACTTATGATAAACAAGTAAAAATGAAATCACATACAAAGTAGTAGCATGCCCCACGTTTAACGTTCAAATATTTTCCCTTAAGAACTACCGTTTCCTAGCCCACTGATAGAAATCAGATTCGTTCACTGTCGAATTAGTCCGTCAAACACCGACATATATATGAGGATACCGTCTAACTGCGGGAAAATTTTTTTTTTGTGGGAGCTGCAGGCCTCCAGCACTAATAATCTGTCTCAACATTTTATCTCCGTTACAGGCTCAAGCTGAGCTGGAAAAACAGAAGCAGATGTTGGCCGCTCAAAGCGCTAATGCGAACGGTGGCGCCCCGGATGAGGCTCTGATCCAGAAGCTACAAGAGATGACGATGCGATGCGCAGACCTCGAAATGAAACTGAGCCAGGGTGGCGGGGGTGGGGGAGCAGACGAGGCTGAGGTTAATCGATTACTTGACATTATGGCCGACCTCGAACAGGAAAAAGCTAAAATGCAAAAACAAATACAAGAACTTACCGAGTAAGTTACAATATAGTTAGTGTCTGAAAACAAACTCGATTTATGCAGTGCTTTCCATAAAGGCTTTATATTATTTGCTGTAAAAAAACGTTCGGTGCAAAGTAAGCGATTTTTAATGTACAACGAAAAATTCCGTTCTGTTTAGAATGAAATTTCTGCAATTCTCCAGTCAACTGTATGCATGCTTTTGCACTCGTGTGGTCTCTATAGGAAACTTAAAGTGTTCCAAACCGGAGGAGCAATGCCACAAGGCGGCCCTGGTCCTCACCCGCCGCAGCAAAGCGCAGCCTCAGCCCCAACTGCTAGTGGCACTCCCCAACAGAAACAGCTTCAACAAGCGGCGCAGGGCCCTGGCCCCCAGCAGCAGGCACCACAAGGACAACAGACCGCAATAAGAGCGCAAGCACCACAGCAAAGACCGCAAGCCTCCGCACAACAGCAGAGACCCGTACGTATACTCATTGCGTAAACATGACAAAAAGAACCATTCGCTGCCGAAGCGACGAACCATATTTGAGTGGTAACAAGTAGCGATACTAGGTAATTGTAAGGCAACATACAAGTGTTCACTCATGACAATGATTATTAAAAGAATATTCTTAGTTGTATGTAGAAAGCGATTTTCGGATCATACTGTATATATACTTACAATTTCCATCCTGTATTCGCTTTTACATTAATGCTGCATTGACGGATGGACGTGTTCGTTCACACTCAATTCGTCAACGTTCAACTATAGAATCCAGCGGCCGCTGCCTCGAGCTTCTTTTCAAATTTTTTCTAAGTTAAACAACAAAAAAACGACAACAACAATAACAGAAATGACACAAAGATAACAACTACAGAAGTACATAAACATATTGCTATGGATAGCAACCTTGAGAGTCATAAAGACAGGTCAGCCATCCACGCCAAGCCACAGCGCCAAGAAAGACACAACGGCAACATTGACCTGCAACCACTACAAAATGGGTGGCTTGAACAGAAAGAGCCCTAATCACATTTGCAACAACAGCAGTATAATGACATCATCAAGTGACAAGCACTAAGAAACGACAGTGATCATCGCAGTCTTTTAAACAATCATGAAAAACTCTGTTCTGGTCCAGACATATACCACACTGATCAACATCGATTAAACAGCCGAAACGGAGTGCCCATGTGGTCGCGCATTACACCTGCTCTTAATCATGCAATTGACAAAAAGTCGCTGACAGACACCAACCATATCCAAGACTAAATTTCCCTTATATCTTGATTGATACCATTTGGCGTCATCGTTGTTGCACCGGGAATAATCCTGTGAAGAGACGGGAGCCATTCCAGCAGAATATATGTATAGCAGATTTGTTTAATACATATAAAACGAGACTGTTCGCAGTTGTTTCGCAAAAATGCTCTAATTACGCCCAATTTATGCAGCGTTTAACCGAATCATAACTAACAGCATGACTGATGACAGAGGCTAAACGTGATGTTTATTGCTGCGGCATACAACAAGAACATCATAACTGAGATAGGCCGAAACTTTCCTCTCTATGCATGTTGCTCCGGCGATTTGAAACATCAAAATCGGCCATATGATGTTAGCGGTAGAGTGTCTTCATCTTCAGCGGAGGAGAGCCATTACAGACGATAGTATAATCGAATGAAAGTATCACTTTTTGAATCAATGGAATGCTTAAGAGCCCCACAAATTGCAGAAGCTCTGTTTGTTGATGGTTGTCAGTACTTTGCGCACATCGACGACTTACCGCACTGGGAAAGAAAAAGATGCTGACTTGCGTTGGGACTTCACAAGCGAAGACATCAAAAGGCAGAAAAAAAACGAAGATTTTAGGTTTGGTATGGCATGCGATTGCCATAGTTCAACCATTGCTACGTTGTTCTGTAATGCGTCATTGTAGAATATATCACCACCAGCACTACTACTACTGTGAACCAGTGGGTGATGGAATGAGCCGGCATGAGACACAGGAAAACTTAGCGGCCTACGAAGCTCATAATGGAACTCGCCTCCCTAACGACCGATTAGGTAAAAAGACGCTTACAAAACATTGCTAAAAATGTCCCCGTTCCTTGACCATTAAGGTTACATATGAATGAATTTTAGAATTGCCGCTAATAGTAACCATAGTAAGAGCACTACCGTAAATGGGAGAGGGGGAACGACTATTAGATCTGAACATAACTTTCCCAGATGGATGGTGGGAGGCAACAGACTCTGTCTAACAAAAAAGGAAACTGAAACAAATTAGACGCAGATCAAATAAGGCTTTCTTGGGCTTCGTATCCAAGGTTTCATTCATATCCAAATGGTGCCGCCACAAAGGTAGCACTCGAATGCTAGCTCTGTTTTCGTTCTGATTAAGATCTTTATATCCGTAACAGTAGTAACCGTTCTGTTCAAGTCTTCATAATAGTCGTAATATTCGCGGCTTACTTTAGTCCTACACGAATAATATTTCAAATAAAAGGCTCTTAGTTGCTAACGCTCGCAAACCCAGCGGCTATTGAAAGGCGAAAGTCGTAGCAAAGATAAGTCTAGCCTAAAACAAACGCTTGCGTAAAACGACACGACACGATACAATTATAACTAGAATACTGCCACATCACAAATAACATCGATAAATTACGCACAGTGATCGTCTGTATTGAACAATAATAATAATACTACTAAGAATGGGTGAGAACAACAGTCGGTCGTCGAATGATACAGAGAAACATGTGTATAACTACAATTTTTCGTTG